TTAATGTTGTGCTGAAGCATCATGAACGTCACCAAAGTCTCTAAAAAGCTGATCAGCAGTTTGGATACATTTCAGTGGCTCTTTAAAATCAGCTTCTAAAACTTTTTGAATGCACAGCTTAGCTTTGATGCCCACCGTTTAGCTTTCTTCAAGGGAAATCCTTTTTCTCTTTTTTTTTTTTACCTCTCTCTCTCTTGGTAGGGGAGGAATAAATTCACCAAACTGAAAGAGGAAAAAAAAAAGGAAAAAGGAGAGGAGAACGAGGATGTGATGGTAGAATGTTTGGTCATTGCTCTCCTGAAACATCCACCTGAACTTGTCTCTCCACTGAATATTGTCATAGAAGTAACCTAGGCAGAGTCATGCTTCAACTTTCAGGAATGTTTAGAGGTTCCTGTAAAGTTAGCATGTGTTTGAAAGGAAAAGATTGACTCAGATGAAGAAGTTTGTTTGCCAAAATTGCTGTGTGAAAAAAGGTATTTTGACTGAAAGGTGTCTTTGCTGAAATCCTTCATTTCTTCTGCTTTGAGACTTTTTTTTTTTTTTGATAAAAATTATGTTTCTAGGCAAATAATTTATCAACTGTTTTCTTGTGATGCAATGCATTGAATGATGGAACACAATGAAATATAAGCTACAAACATTGGCTTCTACAAAACCATATTGTGGTTGTCTAAAAACATCCTAGTTTCATGTTACATTGTGAAAGAAATAAAAAGGCTGATCACTTACTAAGATTTTTCATTATCATCATCCTAAAAATTGAGACTGGGCAATCCAGAATTCAACCATTAATACACCCTTAATGCCAAAAAAGCACTAGCAGATTGCTCTTTTCAGACTCTGCAGAGTAAAATACCATTGAACTGTTTTTCAGATATTTAAACCTAACTAAGGGTGTATTTAAACCTACCTAAAGGTGTATTAGTGGTTGAAAAAATTTTAGGTAATGCAGAAACTTTTCTGGATTATAAAGAAAGTAACCTCACTTTATAATTACACTGTTTGCAAAATTCAACAGATTTGCAATACCCGTGCTATACTACTATATAAGATGTGCAGCGAGCCAGAAGCCAGTATTCATTTTTGTTCATTTGCCARGTACTGTTTTCCACAATTAATTTTAGCCTTATCGGCTACAAATGATGATTCACTGACAACAGTGAAAATATTTTATTTTAATAGTTTTTTCACATATTCAACTATTACTCATATAGTGTAACTGATGATCTGAAAATAAACATGCAATGGATTATTTCAAATTCAGTTATTAGAAATGCATTTTTTCTTTGATTTGAGCAGTCATTAGCAAGAAAGAAAATTAAGTTCCTTCAGCTATTGAAGGAGCAAAAATATTGCTAGCAATACTTGCTGATAAACATGTCACTGTAAGTGCAGGCAAATTTTGGAAAATATTGGTATTTAAATCTCTGCCACATTAAATCTCTAACCTTATACCTCTCAGCTGCAGAGAAGGTTCAAGGTTTTCTTCTTTAAAACTATGGTACAATTATTCTCACAGTCAGCTCCCCCCCAAGTTCCTTATCTTATAGGCTGCCACAAACCACTGAGAAAAAAAAGTATAATCCTTCTGACATTTATTGCTGGCTTTATTGATCTATGGAAAGCCATTTTTCCAATCATCCTAAAATGAAAAAAGCCTCTCATTTCTTAGGGATGCCAACGAATTTCTTGATTAAATGTTGCCATCACAGTTCTTGTTAAACTCATTGACAGACTAAAAAATATATATATTTACCTGGTCACTGTTTGCTCAGCATCTATCTAGGGACCTGTTAGATACCAAGTGCTGTGTTCTATACAAGTAACTTGTGATAAATATACATTGTATAAAAATGATATTTGGAAATTAAAAGATTGATTATGTGGGATAATAGGTAAAAAGTTCTGCAAGGCAGATGAGAGCTGCTCTGGGAGTATATTTCAAATATTTTCAGTGGTAGCCAAAGCAATTTTTGTATAAAGGCTGCAGAATCTTTTAGCTTCAGTGGTGCTGTATCAATATATTGTTCAGTGTAAAACCCWGAAGACTTGATCTCAAGCAGAGAGGTAATCTGGGACAAAGAAATGGCCTTCAGCTGTTACATCCAGATTATAGCCAGGTCTCAAGAGCAAAGCACCAGACCAAACACCTCATGCATTTATGTGGGCTAAAGAAATACAACCCATCTGCTAACCAAACATCTACTGAATGCCTGAGCCTTAGCAGCACAATCAAAGACTGGTTATCGGTCTAGTTACAGTAATATTAACACGTATCCAAAATGCCCAGCTATTCGAAATATTCCGCTCATTCCCTATAACACTGAAGGCCAAGCCAGCTTTCCATCCTCTCTGCCTTGTGCTGGTGCTCAGCTCTCCCCCGGGCACCCCGCGCCTCCTCGCGCTGCTGGCGCCGGCTTCCCGGGAGAAAGGGAGAGCAAGCGGCCTGCTGACTCGCCTGGGCCTTCAGCGCGAGGATGATGATGGTGGTGGCGTTCCTTCCTTCCCACTCTCGGGTTTATTTCTATATGTTGACAAACACAACCCACTATTTTTATCCTCCTTTTTCCACAAATTTCATTTTATATCCACATTATTTTGTGTATTTTCTCTATGTCATTTGTAGTTCTTTGCTCTCTGTTATACCTAAATTTTTTAGTTTCGTCTAGCTCCCAATGCTGTGTCCTTAGTCAGCAGTAATCAGGCATGTGTAAACTATGTTTATATCCCTTGGGGAGTTTGGTGCCTTTTTGTACCTGCATTTTCAAGGTATCTGTTATATTTAGGAGCCCCTTATTACAATTTCACTTTTTTTTTTTTTAAACAGCCTCCAAACTGGGCTATCTGGCAACATAAGTAATGTTTCGTCAGCACAGTCTGGATATGCCTAAATCCTTTCTCTAGGGTCATCGCATTATGTCACACTACAAAAGTAACCAATCATTAGATCTGCATCTATATCTGTAGATAAATATAGCTCTAGATATAATAATAGCGTTTGTAAATAGTCGATATTAATATTTATCAGTTATGTCACTGGTACCACTATTAAATTACCAAAACTACATTACAGCTCAGCAAATACAACTCTGATTCAGATATTCAGAGTCATTCTGAGCTCTTGGCTGGCACTGGCCTCGATCTGCAGCTTTCTCCAGTAAATCTTAGCATAAGATCCTAGGGCATCTCCACTACTTTCAACAAAAATTCCATTTCCATCCTTTTCTGAAGGAACCTCTCTTCTTCTTCCGGTTTCTTCGATTTTCTCTGAAACCTTTTTTTCTACAATCTCTCCAGCAGATCAGAATATCACAGTAAATCATAAAAAGTACTTGACCTCAAGCTGCAAGGTAGTCTGGGGAAACTCTTCCACCATGCAGTGAAATTCCTTCTTTCATGGAACACGTAGGTAGAGGCTTTACTGGAACACTAGAAATTATTATTTAGGTTCAGCAACAGCATATAAAATTCAAGAGAAATGTTTAAAAGACGCATAGAAAATACTCTCTGTGTTTTAGAGTTGGGCTAGATGAATCTCTAAAGTTCTCTTCCAACTTCATGCATTCTGTGCGAGTTCTCTTGAATTATTCTTGAGTTTTCCTTATGAGCCAAAATATACCTATTGTGCCTTCTTTTTTTCTCTCAAATACATGCTATTTTTTCAAGCTGAAGCAAGCTTAATCTCAAACCAAAAAAAATCCAGCATCTTAATAGCTTGGTCTCAGGTTAGAAAAAAAAATAGTTTCTTTTTTTAATTTCTCAGAAAAATAAAGTTTAAAGTCCGCCAAACTCAAAGCAAGGTTGCAATATATCAGTTGATTGAGAGAGGTTTTTTTGATATTTATAGAAGTTATTTGATTATCTATACTGATTGTACTCTCCATTCGTAAGACTACACACACACTGCGTCTTAATATTTCAATTTAAATGTACATTCTTTGCTATTTCAAAATTTGGTTATAGATTATATATTAGCACTTCAACTTATTACAGATTCTCACATCATTCTCATTGTTCGAATTCATCTTTAAAAACAATAATTTTAAATAATGGTCATTGTTCCCTACCTTCCTGCTCTTCAGTCACTTAACAGAAATGTTAGGTCCTTTTTGTGTGTTTATTTTTTATAAAATTTGATTTTCTTGGCCATTTTCTTGTACACTTGTGAGGGGAATGCTGATATACTCCTGCCATATGCTAGTGGGACTGTTATACCATAAGTGACTGTGTTTTATGTAAAAGACTGTGTTTTATGTAAAAAATACATGTGTTGTTCAGAACAGTCTACCAAAATCTGACTGAAACCTATCCCTGTCTTGGTTATATTTCTTATGTGGACCAGCATGTTTCTGTATGAACAAGCTGGAAGTTTCATTTAAATAGCTTCCACTCACTGTAATATTGCTAAGTAATAAATGAATATGCTGCCCTATGGCACACAGTGGCGTAATCACCCCACGACGGGATTATTGAGCACATGCCAAGGACAGCTCCATTCATTTGGGGACAAAGCCTCTYATAATACAGTACATGTAACCTTAAGGCACCCTATGAAATATCGCAGATTAGTGATTTATCAAGTGGTAGTAACTAGTGGAAGGTAATTAACTTTCTGCTCTTCTAATTCCCCGCCTCGTGTGTAAGTGTCAGCAACGACGTGTGTGGCAAAGCTGGGTGCTGTGCTGGAGCAGCCGGCGTGGGGGCTGATCTCCGGCCTGGAGCAGCTGCTCTTCAGTGGCTCCGCACACCCTCATTCCCAGGGACTTCTGTGGAAGCAGGGAGCTCCCAGCAGATGCCGGAGATCAAGTGCTGGGAGATGAACAGGGGAATGTTTGGAGTATTTCTACCTTTAGTGTGTGTGAGCAAGTTTCATGTACAATCACATTACAACCACCTGGAAAGAGAAATTAAATTCAAGAGCAATGAAGTAGCTGAACCATGCTAGAAGTTTACAGACTTTAAAGAAAAAGTTAATTTCTATTTTCTTTTACCCACAGGTCTACCCCCGGATAGCGCCGGCATTTTGGCACTACCTGCGGGTAGAAGTGAGTAGCGGGTATTTGAATACTCCCACATCTTTACTTTACAGTTTGCTAGTAATTACTGAACTCCTGACTTTTCCATTGTGAAAAAAATAATTAGCTGCCATTGTAGTTGCCATTTACTACGAATGTAGTCTTCTACTAATCCACATTGTTTTAACTGCAATATAATTACTAACTCAAGTAACAAAGATGTGACGTATTTATAAGCAAGACTAAGGACGAAAACTGGGAATCTTAACTCAAGGCCATATCATACATTGTGACTATAGCACAATCAAAGTACTGAAATCCATATCTGCACCTCCTTTTATAGGCACATTTTACATTCATGAGAAGAATGTGGAGCTTTAGTTCTGCTGTATCACTTTTGCGAAGTTTGTGCAACTCAACTTGATACCATTTCTCCCCTCTTTTGTCCCTCAGGAGCATGAGCAGCTCAGCTATTCTTCCACAAGGTCCAAGGCTCCAAGTGTTATCATCACAGGTCTCAAGCCAGCCACCAAGTATATATTTCATATCAGAGTCAGGACGGCAGCAGGATACAGCGGCTATAGCCAGAAGTTTGAATTTGAAACTGGAGATGAAAGTAAGTTTCACTGAAGGGAAACTCAAGTACAATAAAAGTAGCTTTCAATTCTAAAACAGGCAGGCACTGTGACTTTGGCTGAATCCATATCAAATAACTTATCGCAGAATGATCATTGTTGTATAAGACTCAGCTTTGCACTTCTATTTTGTCTTTCTTTTTTCTTTTTCTTTCTCTTTTACAAATAGAAATCTTAGCTGAAGGTTGCAGCTGAAGGAGTTTTTTCTGCTGCAAGTCTCCTCCTATATCATTTCTTCACTCAAAAAACAACCTTTTAATATCTGGAAATAACCCAAGTAAGACTTGAATGTTTCATAAGCCCAGCAGCTTCCTGCAAGCTCCTGGAACACTGTGGCAGACTCTTTTCTCTATAGYTTGTAGTGTTCCCAGAGTCTGCAAATAAAATGATGTAAACATCTATATATATTTCCACTCAACCAATAAGCACAGTAAACATGCYGGTGAGGAGCAGAAAAACCTAAATATTCCTAAGGAACATATGAAAAGGCTTGACTCATTCTCTGAAGAACTTCATAATGAAATCAGATATTGCCCTCCACATTCAGAGGAATGGTAAGCAAGGTATTTGCAAGCATTTGAGATAGAATTAGAGTAGCGGATGCAACACTAAAACACTCATTAATGAAATTACTTTAATTAGCCAATTACATATATCATGTTTTTCATTAGTGTTTTGGAATTTAAGTTGCTTAATCTAAAAACTCTYTGTAAGTGTTCTCAAGAGCACCCATGGGTCTATGTTCCATTTTCATTTTTTCTTAACTTCTACATCAAAAATATTTTAGSGAGAGATTCCCAAGTGCTTAATACCCAATTGAATTTTTAAAATTTTCTAGACCCTTAAGCCAGTTGCTTTGAATAGAACCCAAGCACTTGGCTCCTTTCAAGAGTTATGGTAGATCTTGTCCATATCTGCTGCTGTGACACCATGTGACATCTGGCCTTCAGGCACACAGAGGCATAAATTGTGTCAAATGTAAATGGAATTGAAACTTCTATGAATCTCAGTCAAATCTATGAAAGTGTGTCTTACCCATCTAAATCATGAAGATGATTGTTCCTGTGACGTTTCTTTCATTGCTAAGGTAACATTTCTTGGAAGTGAGATCCCATCTGCTTCTTACCTCAGCATCCTCTTCTCAGTTACACTAATACCRTTTTTGTCTTGGGCTATATGGTGAGGTAGAGCAGGACATTAATTTTAAAATAACTTTTTCCATGGATGAGAACAGGAAGCTGGAGATGAGAGATGATGATTTTTTAAGCTGAGCAGTGAGTCTGGAAACTTTTGAAAAACATTTGCAGTCCTTTAAGTTAAGTAATTCAGACTTGGATCCAGATGTCTGAGACAGGGGTGTCATTGCAAATGCTTGTGTGCTATTAATGCATCCTTCCCTAAGATCTGCCTGAGGTCTGAAGCAGTTCCAATCCCTGCAGGCTTAAAGTGTGTCATAGTGCCAAGGAAGGCCTTTGTTAAAACACTGACTGTGTATATTGGACTAGGTGCTCTGCAGCTATGAGGCAAAAGACAAAAAGAACACAGGACAGTGCTGTGAAACGTATGAAAAGTAGTTTAGAAGCCTGAATTGTTCTTCAAACTCGCTGAACATTGAGGATGACTAGCAGTGGTACAAGGCTAAGCCTTCCATTGTAAGATGAAAAAACACATGATAAGATAATGTGGTTTTTACATGCTACTGTGAGCATCTCTCTGAAACAGCAAAAATTAATATGAGCTGCTATCAGTGCTAAAAAGGAAATGATGAATTATTTTATGTGTAGTTTATTCATTCAAATTTGTGTCCCATTTTGGTAGAGCTTATTCATTCAAATTTGTGTCCCATTTTGGTAGAGCATTGAATTTGGTGATATAAAGTATCACATTCAGTGATATGTTTTCTGAAAATTCACTAGCTAATAATAATTTGTAGCCTGTGGGTTTCTAACTCGTTGTCTGCTTACTGCATGGAAACACAAGGTTCCCACAGGAACAGAGCTCTATTAAAGAGAATATATTTCAAATCTCAACAATCTTAAACATTTATTGACTCTCAAGCACACTTAGTGTGAATCTTGGTAGTGAAATATGAACATACATTATATAGTTATTGTTTACTAACTTTTATTGCTTAGGCTTGTGCCTGACTAAAAGTATTTAATTTACTATAAAAATAAAACACTGTGTTATTGAAAGAAAACATAGGCAGAGGAGTCCTTTTTTATGGTTAAATGAAGCAGAGGGAGAGAGTTTTTGCATTTCAGTTTAAAATGGTAGGTACCTGGAGCTAGATAAAGACTTCAGTTTAATTAAAACAGCAGTTCAAAAAATGTTACATATTCAAATATTGCTAAGTGCTGCTTTAGATTTCAAAGAGAAAAGAAGGCAAAGTGAGTACCTGGTGGTAAATATTACTTTTTTTTTTTTTTTTTCCAAATAATAGCAGCCTTCAGTGACCAATTAAATAATGGTACCTTGTTATTGTCCAAATATGTTACTTCCTCAAAGCAGTAYTTTTAAAGTAAGCCTGTTCTAAACTTTAGTGCCATATCAGATGATTGTGATCATTCACTTGAACCCCTTTCATAATACAATAGTCCTGGAGCTTCTCCAGCCAGTTTATAGCAATGGATTGAGATGTAACATCTCTCATACAGACACACACTCTTTGATTTGGAGCCTTCCAATGATGGAGAGCTCACAATATTTATAGATATATCATTCCAGTGCTCATTACTAAAAGTCTGCACCTTTTCCCTAGCTTCAGGGAAACTACAGTTTCAGATTGTATTTTGTACCATTTTTCTAGCAAAGTTAATTTACTTACAGATCTAACAATGATTTACTTACAGATCTAAGATTAGCGCTTGCTGTCTCAATTGGAGCACTGTCTTTCGCAGCTGAGTAACTCTCACGTAGCAGCATTTTTGTCATTAAGATTTTATTCCAAGAAGCTGAGCTGCATTTAGAGGTTGCTCTTGGAGATAGTTCTGTTGGACTGCTTACTTATATAACATATACAATCAGCATATAAATGATGTATTTCCCTTGCTGTTGTGCACCTGTCTTACAAACTAGTGCAAATTTAGCTGTTCAGTAATGTCTTCTTTACTGCTCCAGCAATTTGCAGTTTAGCTAAACATTACTTTTCTTTTTACTATATGTTTTACTATATGTTTTTCTTCAGTTTTCTGAAAAGAAACTAAATAATGTTCGGCCAAGATTTGTAGCCCCCTTAAATATTGACACAATTTTTTGACAGGTAGTGCTACAATGAGCAATCTGTAATTAGGGTTTTTCTTTAAAATGTTCTAAAGAGCATAGAAAAGTCCTCTAAAGTGTGCTGGTGCGTATGTTATTTCTTAATCTGTAAGACATTTATATCTAAGTTTTAATAGAGATTGTTTTTGATAGCAGAGTACAGTCATGTTTGCTGATGCTGACTAAAATGCAATCCCTGCAGTCATATAGGGTATAAATAGATGCATCAATAGCAGGAACACAAAATTTAGCAAGGATTATTAATGCTGGTGCATGAAGCAGCAACCAGACCAGCTTTGTAGGAGTAATAAAAAAGAAAGTTAATTAATCATTCACTGCTGAGCTACTTCCCAGGAAACAGGTTTGTTTGCTGCACACTGGACTGAAGCAGTTGCTTGGAGAGTGGGTCGTTGGAGAACTCTTCTCCCTGCTGTAGAAACCAGTAAATGAAACAGACAAAACAGGAAAGTTTGCACTTCATGAAGAGAAGTGATGTTATGTAAAAGAGTCGGGAAAATTGTCTGTTTAAAAGGAGTGGATGAATGGATGCTGCCACCTAATTGTCACATGTCAAGTGTCAGCCACTGACAAAGCTAAGAGGTTACTGCTGGAAAAGTTTCATGTAACAGCTTTGCAAAGTATAGGAACCAGTGCTTTTGAGCTTGTTTATTACTACCATTTTGTTCTCCCTGTTTCAGCACCCTGTTACCAGCAAAACCCCTCTAGCAAAGCTGACGAGGTTCCCTGCACTCCTGCACACACACACACGCACCACTGCCGCGGCTGTAAGTTGAAGTACAAGCTCGCTCTTACTTAAATCCTGCTGTTGAGTATCAGCAGTGCCAGGTATCTGAGTCACCACCAAAAAATTCAGTCCCTCCTTGGATAGAATAAGATGTATTCTGACCAAAAAAAAAAAAAAAAAAAAACAGATTACAAGGCAAATGTGCTTCAATCTTTTACAATCTTTTACTGTTTTCTCTCTCCCTCTTTATTTATTTCTCTCTCTCTTCTTTTTAAATCAAGTATTTACAGAGCACTTTTTAATATTTAATGATTTAAAGCATTCTCTCTTTTTTTTTTTTCCTGAAGGAATGTTCTTTTTGCTATCCTGTGATAGTGTAAAGGCCCCTGTACATAGAGGAATTTTGTAAAATATTGTTCACAATTTACAGCTGTTAGGCAGTGCAGGGTTTTTGTGTAGCAGCTCTCTTGTGCAAGAGTTGATCTCAAACAGTTCTAAAACACAGTCAGCCTTTTACCATGTCAGTGTTCCCAATGGCAGGAAAAGGTGGGTTTTGTTGCAGTTGTTTTCTCTTGGGTATCCGCGTCAGGGCTGCCACGCTTTTGTAGTGGGATGGCTCTGTCCTCACGGCGTGTTATTTGGCTGGGTACCCATTATGGCCTTGACACACTTTGTCCTTTTTTCGATTTCAGATATCTGAGATCATTAGAGGACTTCTTGTAGCCTGACAGAGTCGTATTTTTTAACATCGTATTGGCAGATCTATGGCAATGGGACTTTGGAGAGAGAAAGGCTTGCTTGGTTACTGCAGTGGGTGCCCTGCTGCGATGCACTGGGGCTAGATCCTGCAGCAATCTGTGGTATCAGCTGGGCCCAGTGTTTTTGTTCAARTCAACCAGGTGGCTTGGTTGAGAAGGGACTCCAAAGGCAAACTAGCCTTTGGAGTGTGGCTTTGGAGTAGCACAGTGTGGACGG